TTCTGGACCACATCCCCCCATGATCTAAAGATTAAAAAGGAGACTTTGGATCCACTGATATGTTCGGGACATAGTCACAGAGCTGAGAGGACCCAGCCTGTCCACCCCACTCACACTGGAGACAGAGCACACAGCTCTGTGCTCCAGGGGCCACATTCTGAGGGCTCCCCAAAAGGGTGTCCCTTCTACCTCCTGTGCCAGCCACCTGCCCCTGCTTGTGCCAGCAACTCAGAGAACTGATAGTCAGTATTCCAAGACAGCTCCAGTTTTCAGAGCACATTCAAAGCCAAAGAATTTCCAGGCAAGCAAACACCCTTACAACTGCCTCAAAGAACTTAGTCTTCAAGGACCATTACTGGAAGGAACTCAGCAAACTACCCTGACGACCCCAATATGTCCCCCACAAACCCTCCTGGATGGTCTCATGATTTCCAGGAGAGGACTTCACGTCCATCAAACAATGCCTAGAATCAAAAGACAAGATTCCCCGCTGGCAGGCCTTGGGTGTGTCACTAAAGCAGGGCTCCCCATCAGCCTGACAGAACTGAGGCGAGTAGCCTGCATTTCCGCACACTCTGGCAGTACAAAAGCCTGCCTTCACCCCCTGGCCCTGGCCTGGGGTCTCAGAGGAGCAGCACTTTGGGAGCTGCCTGGGGTCCAGAACCTTGGTGGATGACCCAGGACACCGGTGTCCAGTCCAGGGCTGTATAACCCTGCCAAGACCACAAAACCCAGGGAAGGAGAAAGGAGACATGAGTCTTGCTTGGGTTTGTGAGTTGAACTTCAACCCTTTGATTTAGGGGCACACCTTACTTTATTGCACTTTGTTTCATGACACTTCACATTGGTTGCATTTTGTGTTACAAGCTGGAGGTTTGTGGCAATCCTGCATTGACATTTAGCAGACAGTATGGCCCAAATGTAACTTTAGTATCTAGTGGAAAAGGAAACAGGAAAAAATAAAAAGTGACTTGTTTTATGGTGCTATTCACTTTACTAAAGTAGTCTGGAACCAAATATGCATATCTCCAAGTATGTTTGCACTTCTGGGTCATTGGCAAGTTGCCACAGACCTGGAGAAGTGCATTGGGCTCTCTGCGCTGGAAGGGCCTGTAATGCTCAGTTCCTAATGGTTCTGGTCTCTGGTAGTCCTGGGGAAGTTCAGACCTCTTCCCCAGAGCTACCCTCGGTGACCTCAGAGTTGTCCCTGTTTGCTGGTAGAAGCAAGGCAAGTATCCAAGCCCCCTCCATCAGTGCTCATTCAAAGGAATGAATGAATAGGTGGAATCCAGGAAGAAGGTCACATCAGGATCCTACAGACAGGAACCAAGACCTAGCTGAATAAGTGATATCTGAGCAAGTAACGCTCCTCCCTAGGCCTCATTTCTCATTTGTGAGAACAGGTGGGCTTAAATGCCCAGCCTCCGAGCACTAGCCTGCTGGGAGCGTCTCCCAATAGCTGAGGCAGTCGCTCCTTGACCAGCAGGACCTGGGAGGCAGAACTAAGGACTAAGAGGAGTGTATGTTTCAATCGCCAGGCCTGCCAGCATGTGGCTACCCAGTCATCTTTGGGGTACAAGTTAAGGTGAGGGGGTCCAGCTCTAGCCAAGAGCTCACACAGAACGAGACCTTAGACACTTAGGTCGCTCTTCTTTGGGGACCAGATTGCACCACCTACCCATTTTATAGCTAGAAGAAAACCTGCAAGAAGAAGGTGTGGGTTGCAAGAGTCAAAAGGATCTCCTGGCCCCAAACCACTTAGCAAAATGTTCCACAAAACAGAGCATCACTCCTATTAGGATGCGCTTAGCATGTAACTTGCAGTAGGTATACGTTTCTGACCCCACCTCCTAGAGCAGAGGAGAAGTATCCCAAGCATAGATCTCGGGACTGCAAGCCCAGCTGGACTGGAAAGGGCCTTGCCACCAGCTGACCAGAAGCTGTTCCAGACTCTTCCAGCTCAGAATATCTCTTTTCCAGAAGTGTCATGACAAGGGGTCAAGTGCTTTAAGAATGCAAAGATTCCTCAACCAACATCAGCTCTTATCTCAGACGATCCGACTCCACTGACCAGTGGTACAGCTCAGAGCCCTCCCTGCACGTGACTGCTGTGCCACAATGACTAAACAGGGCAACGACATGGCTCGTGGAGTTTGCAGTGACTGCTCGGGATTTCCCACCCCTTCCCAACATGACTTGGCTTGCCAGAGACTAAAGAGCTAGCGGTTCAAAAAGGCCAGCTAAGAATGGGCAGTGCTAGGTGAGGGGCCATGGCAAGCGTCGGTGGGGACTGCTGGGAGGAGGCCTGAGCATGCAGAGGGGAGCGTGGGAGGCAGGGACGGAGCACGGGCAGAGGAAAAGTCCCCCCGCACAATGTCAGCCCACAAACTGGCCAAGAAGCGTGGGCTTGGCTCAAAAACCTGCAGGTAGTCCTGAAAAGATGAGAAAGTTTCAAAATCCAGAGTTCCAGCTTCGGAGAGTTGAGTAGCCTGGCAACACGGTGTCTACAAGCCCCCCTTGGCCACAGCCAGCCGACTTGAGTGGCAGTGGACCCTCAAGTGGGCCAACGCTCCCTGGGCCAACCCAACCCCAACTCTGCCCAGTCCAAGTCTGAGGGCCCCCACTTTTAACACATAACTGTCTCTGACAGCAGAGAAATGTGCCTTGTCTCCATTTTTTCTCAAAAGTGGAAAATGACCAACAGACCAAGGTGGGCAGAATGTCTTGAAAAAGTGAGCATGAGCTCATTCATAATCGAGAAGCAAGACCCGCACGCTCATTTCCCTCATTGCCCGCCTGGTTCGGGGAGCATCGCCTGCCCCCCACATGCCTTGCACCCTCAACTGTTCTCTAGCTCCAGGAACAGGTTCTTGGAACTGCAACCTGAAGCAAAATGACGCAGCACAAAAGCAGATCTAAGGATGACATGATTTCATTGAATGCAGACCAGGATTGTTCTCTTATAAAATTATAACTGAATGACACTGAAGTCAGCAGCGTTACTCCATGACCTACTGAAGTCAGGAAAGACGTCTCATGGGGACACATAGGCAGCCCAAGCCAGCGCCCCTACCATGCACAGAGACACGCCCCGTGTGCTAAGCGCATGGTCATTTCTGTCACATCTGAGGCTCCTTGGCAAAAGCAGCATGACAGGAAAGTGTCTCCACAAGGCAGGCACAGGACCGGCCTGAGGGCTCAGAGCCGAGGCAGAAAGACTTAGGGCGGGAAGGAGGTGTGCAGCACAGTGAGGGCAGGAGGAGGAGAGACAGGTGTCTGGGTCCCTCCCACCAGCTCCTGCCTCTGTCCAGGGTCACATCTGCCTCCAGCCTCCCAACCACACACAGTTCTGCTGTCCCTCCCGCCCCTCTGTCAGCCCTAAAGGACTCTACCTGGATGCCACCGGGGCCTCCGTGTGGCTAGCCAGTGCCCAGAGGCTGTCACAGCAGAGAGGTTCAGAACTGTCTCCAACTGGAGTGAAGCAAAAGAGCACTTGTAAGAGAGCTGGTTGCCCTCAGGAGCTGAGCTGGCCCTCACCGAGGCAGAAAGGAGGTGACAAGCACACCCAGGGTTGCCGCTCTGCCAAGCCCAATGCCACCAGTCATACCCTCGGGAAGCCTCTGCTATTCAGGACCTGCCTATGAGGTGCCTGTGCGGTGCATATTTATCTCCACACCAGGATGGGAGGGGCTCTGCCTAGTCTCTGGAGTACCCAGACCCTGGCACTGAAGGAAGCATGAGGAGGGCTGTGGAGCCCAGAGTTGAACTGAGCTGAACATCACCTACTGAGCAGAGGCACCTGCCCAGCTGCCTGGGCACTCAGAACTGAGGCTTGGGCCTGGGGGGGCCAGCGTCATGCAGCACAAAGCCCAAACCGGGAGGCTGGCCTTCAGGGCCTTCAAGTGCTGGTGCTGGCCTGGTACCCTCCACCTTATCTCTGAGAATTCTCCATGGGTACCCAACATGCCAGCTGTTCTCCTGGCCTGGCCTCCTCCTGGCAATCAGATGGGATGCTCCCTATGCCTAGATGCCCTTCTCTCCCTTCCATTTACTCCCCAGGGAAGCACCATTGTGTTCTTACTCTGCCTCCAAAAACCACATTTGCGATGCAGATTGCTGTCCTGTGTGTGTATGTGTCTGACCCATCTGCTGGAGGGGGCACCTTTCATGGTAGAAGACCCCAGGCCCTAACAGAGTAAGCAAGGGACACTGGGGAAACTCTCCCACTGTCAACTATCAGGGAAAAGCCTATATCCTACACCTGCATCCCTACACCCCTACTTCCACACTCCCTGTGACAGACAAGTGCCAGGAGAAGCTGCCCCACACCTCCTCTGAAGTCCAGCCCTGTTCCTCGCCAGCACAGCTGTCCAGCCTGATCACACAAGAAGGAATTTGGGGTCATAAATTGAGAAATGCTGAACAGGCCCACTCATCCTGTGTGGTGCCCCCAGAATCCTTGAGCAACAGCCACACAGGAATTTTCTTTGGACCTGAAAATATGCCCCTATGCTTTCCATGCTTCAGACAAGAGTCATTGAGAAGATTCCAAATCTTAGAAAATCACTAATCTTAACTGCAAATTTCGAACAACAATTCTAGGAGAGGCAGGTGAGTGCCTGCACATTTGGAGAGGGTCCTTGGAAGCAGGACCCCTTCACAGCCTCATCCGGGCAGATTAGCACCTGAAACTGTTCCCAAGAAACAGAGCTACCTACAAACACAGACCAGTGGTTTTGGAATCAACCGCTCAAGAACAAGCCCTTCCAAGCTGTGATGCCTATGTTACCTACATTCTCGGCCACGTAGAAGTCAAATCAGATAGTGTGGAATGGAGGCTGTTCATGACCCTGACTGTGAGTGACAGGAGGAGGAAAGGAGTTGCGCCTGAGTATAGATTGTTCCAAGAAAGCAAATCAGACCGTGTCCAGCGCCCCCTGCAGAAGGGCCAGTCAGGTAACCGCCAGCTCCGCCCTACTAGCCCCAAAGCCAACACTCACCTTTCAGGGAAGCAACATGTGACAGAGCCTGGGCATATGTGGCTGTATTCAGGAGTGTTCCCGGAAGGCAGGAGGGAAAGAAAGGTCCGGTGGGACCCACTGATCGTCCCAGGCTGGCAGAAAAGAAAATCGCGTGAGTTCTTAAGCCTGCGTGCCCACCAGCCCTCGGGTGCAGGCGCCAGCCAGCCTCACCTCTGCTGGGCCTCTAGCGCCTCTTTCTTGCTCCGGGCCTGGTCCCCAGGGGGTGGAGAGTTGATGTTCCTCACAGGCGGTGGAGGGGTCACCTCTGCCATGGGCTCCTTGGCTCCCGGTTCCTGGTCAGATGCCCCACGCTCCGTTTTTCTCCACTTGGCCCTTCGATTCTGGAACCAAACCTGAGTCCCCGATGAAGGCAGAAATCAAACAGGAGAAGGGAACTAGAACCAAACACAAATGTCTGGACCCCTGCTGACACCCATGACTCACCTGGAGCAGGTGCACAGAGCACAGCTCCCTCCCTCCTCAAGTCCCCACCCGAGCAATGCTCTCTCAACTGTAGGTTCAGCCCCAGGGGCAGATCAGACCAGATGCTATGAAGGCATTTTTCTTTTTAATGTGTTCTAAGTCATAGAAAGTATCCAGATGCATTGTCCATAGCAAGGGTAAAACTGTTTTCTTGTGGAAATTCAGTTATGCAAGTACATTTATTGCTGTGAAATGTATTTCCTATGGGACAGAGGGGGAATCACTGTCAATGGTCAAAGCAGTTTATAAAACATTTCCCTAGGGTTTCCCCATCAAAAATGCTCTAGCAAGTTTGGCCTGAGTACATGAGAGTGTATCTGTCTTCAAACCTATGGTTTTCATCTCTTACAGATGAAGATGAGAGAAACAGACTTGAGTCAGCCCTGGTTTAGAATTCTGGTCTAGAATCCACTGCAACTCTCTAAGATATGCTGCACTATTAGCCCCATTTTACAGATGAGAAAATTGAGCACCGAGAGTAAATTAGCCTACCAAGGTCATTTGGGTGGTAGGTGGCAGGTCCACAACTTGAAGTGCTGTGGTTGCCGAAGTGCTGTGGTTGCCAAACTGCTTGGGGTAATAGCGGCCACCCCCAAGCACTGTTGAGAATGACACAGAGATGCATGTAAAACAGCAAGCTGGTGCCGGGCGTGTAGTCATCGATCACTCTGTAAACATCAGCCAGTGTTATCATCTCTGCCATCCTCAGCTTAGGAGGAGGCTTGTGATTCACCTGCTGTAAGTGCCTTCTTAAGGTTCAGGTGGAATTCTTTAGCCTTGAAATCAAAACTACTTTTGCAGAAAGACAACCCCACGGAAACCAGGCAGCCTGGGCCCAAGGTGTCCCCAGAGGTCAGTGAAATCCTGTTTCTCTTTTCTCCAACAAAACCTATTTCCTCCTTTCTCCAACAAAACCTCATGCCTCCTCTCCTGAGAGATAATTCCTGGCTAAAAAAAAAAAAAAAAAAGGTGGGGGGAAGGGCCCCTTGGCTAGATCTCCTCTATCCCCCAGGCATCCTCTCCTCCTCCTGCTGGCACACTGGCCCAGAAAAGAGCCCGGGGCCCCAAGGCTAGCCCCTCTGCAAGCCCACCCCACCTTTGAATTTTCATTTTCCTTTAACTGGGTTTCTTTCTTTTTTAATCTAGCTGGCTTTTAATTGCACATATCAGCAACCATTGAATAATGATTTTATCTATATTCTAAATTTAGGGCAGTTAAATGCAAAGCAAAATGCAGACACTTTCTTGCGTCTTAATTGAATGAAGGTCACAGCTATAACAACATTTAATTGAGCTATTTTTCATTATCATATTTTAATGACTTTGCACTGACAGTTCGCCTGCTTCTGAGGAAAGAGCATGATGGAGTCGTTTATTTCCCTATTTAGTTATTGTTTGACAACATCAGCTTCGATTAAGACCCTGCTTTATAGAACATTAATCATATTTGAATGAGCAAGGGGTATAAATGTAAACACATCTCCCTTCCCACACCGAAGCCTGTGTCCCCACTCTGAGGCTCACTACACAGACGCTTCACAGCCATTGTCTGTCTGCATAATAGCCAACAACAGCCTGAACAACAATTCCCAGCTTTAATTGTCACCACCCCTATCTCACCCTTGCACCTTTCAGGGAGAAGTTATGATCTTCCACTTCTGAATGCTCAATAATTGTGTCATTTATCTCAATTTGCAGTTCAGTCTTTAGGCAGCTATTGGCAAGCTGGCATTAAAAAAAGAAAGGATAGACGGCATCCTGGCCAAAGGAGATTTTCATTTCCAAATAATAATCAGTTTAATTTGCCGGCATATGACCAATGATTCATGTTCAGATTTAATAATCAGGATCACATAATCTGATTATAGGGGAAATAATTTGTTTACAACCCCCAATTTACTGCTCAGAATTCCATTATCTCTCTTCAGCCATTGGTTTTTAAGAGATACTAACATGACCCAAGGGAACCGAAAGCAAACTATTATATTTCCTACAATTAGATCTTTGCATAGTCTTAACCCCAAGCCCCTACATAAAAAAGAACAGAAACAGCATGGAGGAAACCCCATAAATAAAATGAATATATAATTGTGCTCAAAGAATAGCTCGCCTGGAGAGGCGGCCCTGCAAATGTGTTCCTCCCCGGCTCAGGCACATCTGCTGGGCTCGACGGGTGTGTGCACTTAAATGTAATCACCGAGTGGCTTCTAAAAAGGAATCCTGCTTAGAGACCGTCACCGCGGGCCATGCTCTTCCTGAAGCAACCCTCTCGCTTCTGCCGTTTAAAGATTTTTAAATTGCACATGTTCTTCGGATCCACTTCACTGAAAGAGTCCACGTGCTGGGGAAAAGTTGGACATGATGCAATTTCTGGAAAGCAGATCCTACCCTGCTTCCCATCTGAAAACGCGGTTCTCTGCCATTGACCAGCCTTACCCAGAGCGGTCAGAGCAGCTTTGAGAATAGCATCTCAGCTCTTTTTTTTTTTTTCCAAAGCAAGGAAATGGATGTGCATTGATGTAATTTAGTACCTTAGAGACGCGGACAAATTAGTGTAGAACATTATCACTAGTTAATTATGAATGACCGATTAATCAACCTAATCTAATATTCCACATTATGTTGATGTTATTAAAGTGCATCATGAAAATGACAGATAGTCTTCATTTGCTTTCTTTGGCCAAATGTGCTCTCTGCAGTCATGATGTCAAAAAAAAAAAAAAGTTTGCCAGTTTTAATATTAGAGAGTTAAATAATTAAAAAAGAAGGTTTACCTGCACTCTGGCTTCCGTGAGGTTTATTTTCATGGCTAGCTCTTCTCTAGTGAAGACATCAGGGTAGTGTGTTTGGGCAAAAACTGCCTCCAGAGCTTCCAGCTGGTAAAAGAAAAAAAATATATATTTACTGGGGAGAGGCTGTGGCTAGGTGAGAGGAAACAGATGCCTATTTCAAATTTGCTATGAATGGTAAGGAAGTAGTTTCACAGATCAAGTCGGGAGAAGTGAGGGAGGTCTTTGAAAGCACCCCACAGAATTAAAATTTTAACTATGGATGATTGGGAGCAAGGACTAACAACCCAGCACTCCTGCAAGAAGTAGAAATAAGAAGAGAGAAGTGCAAATATTATCTGCATTTAGATTTAAATATAGACACAGGAATCAAGTCTAAGGTGGCCTGATAAAACAGAACAGTCCACACAGCTTTCATCAGATGCTGTCATTGTTTCAATCCCACAGAAACTGCCCAGGGATCTTTGTGCCACCTTCCCTACTTTTCCAACTGGCTTCAGGAGTAGAACAGATCTAAGAGAAGGAACCCACATCCAGAAAGTACAAAGTCCAAGCTGTAGCCCTTCTGTTTACGGGCAACAGTGCATCTACAAGTCAGTCAAATTCTTGGACCCCGTTTTTCTCATCTGTCTATCTGTTGGGGAAAAGAATGTCTGATCTGCCTTCTTCAAAGGGTTATTTCAAGGTTCAAATGATATTGCTGATAAGGAAATGTTCCCCAAACCATCAAACCATAAGGCAGATGGGAGTGATCGTTATTGCTTCTTCCCTTACTATCTGGAACCATAAGGTCAAAGTCATCTTCTCTTGTCCCAGACTTGATTTCTTGCCACTTAAATAGTTCAAGAAAACAAAAGGATCCATAATCAGTTGGCCTTATTTTAAAAGACAAAGAAGAGCTGTTAAAACCTTAAAACCCAGGGGGTGGGGGGGGGGGATTTTTTTGTTGTTAGTATTTATTGTCTTGTTTTGTTTCTTAGATACAAGAAGTTGCTGACTGAAGGGGACAGGCACCGTTACCTGCTGGAGAGTGAATGTAGTCCGGTTCCGCCGTTGTTTTCTGCGCAAAAACCCATCATCAAAATCTCCCGTGGAATGGTTACCAAAGGGTGCAGTGCCTGCTGGGGAAAAAAGTGGTATCAGCCTGAGCCTCGTCACCCCCACACCGAGCTGGGGCCACACGATTCAGAAACATAGGCCTATTCCTTCCAGGATATATATATGTCTGTCCCAATGTGTCTTTCTCTGCTCATCTTGTTAAGGTCCCACTCTCTCATACCTTCTCTCTCTAAAAAACTTTTGACTCTAGGGTCAGTTGTGCCTACTGCATAGGGTGAATGGCAAGCTTCTTCCCCAAGATGGCCAAGTCCTCTTCTTAGGAAGCTTTGGAATCTGAGTCAGGAAGGGCTACTAGCTTGATGTGGAGTTCTCACCCATCCTCCGGCTCCCTCTGGCCCTCTGTCCACTGTGCCTTTTTCTCATTCCTGGTTCTTTACTAGAAGTCTCCTTTTGTTTACCTGTTGGTTTGCATCCCCTTGTTTTTATAAAGATAAGGATTATAAGCAGAAGACGGGGTGGGGGGTGGGGGGTGGGGTGTTAGATCACTGAAATTTTTTCACAGTACTTTTCTCCTAGAACTTCAGGGCACAAGGAGGTAGAAAGTTTATAAATGAATATTAATTGCTATTGGTCACAGCTCATCAGCACCATAGTGGATCTGTTACATAGATGTCAATTAACAAGAGATCTGCACCAGTAGCACTGCCCTGAATTCCAAGCCAATTTAGAAAGGGTCTCTCTCAAAGGGCACCCTACCCTCTGACCAGACTCATAAAGGACTCTGCTCCTGCTTCCCTGAAAAAAAAGACAACCTTCCTACTGTCCTCCCTGGTAGGCTCCAAAGCTCCATAAGCTCACATAAGCCAGAACAGAGTTTGGCCCCAAATGTGCATTCAGATTATTTTCCAAATGTGCACCATTTACTTGACAGTCCACATGGCTTCTTAGGAAAACAAACGAGCACGTTCCCATTAGCCAGAGAAAGTTATACCTGCCACAGGCCTGAGTCTCAGAATCACGCATACTTGGCACAAGGAGCTAGCAAGCCACTGCCCAGACCTTGTCCCTCAAGAGGACCTCTGTCCCAAGAAGCAAGGTTCTTTGGGCTTTTAAAAATTCTATCAACTAAAGGGAGTTCCTCCTTTTGATTATTCCACTCCACAGTGCCACATCTTAATCCTCAAAACCCCACTCTGCTGAAATCTTACCCCTCTGTCTTTCTGTCCAAAATGCATTGTTCAAAACCCTAGCTACAAATATTTCTTTGCAACTCACTGGAAACCTTAAAAGACAGCCTTAAAGCACTTTTATTTTCATGATTGTGCAGGAAGTGCTTTGACTCAAAGCACTTGTTAGGTGGGGATGGGTTGCAATCTCTGAGGCTCTCCGATCACAGTCAGCCCCAGACTTCAACCTTATACCTGCTGTCCCGATTTTTGTCACAGTGTATACACATCATAGCTTTAAGGGGAATTTTTAAAAGAGTGATGGTTCATCAGATTAATAAGAACACAGACCAACAATCTAATAGAAGAAAATATGAGAGGAGGTTTAAAATAAGTAGAATAGTTTTACTTTAAAATAAGTAGAATAGTTAATAAAATTGTGGAAATATCAAACCTTGCCAATAATAAACAAAACAAACACTGAGATATTATCTTTACCATTTTGGGGGGAAAAGATGTGTTTCACAGTAATGCCCAATACAGACAAGAGTGTAATAAATGTGCATGCTCATTCACTATTTGTAGGAGCATGAATTGGTACACCCATTAGAGAATAATTTGACAATATCTATCAAAAAATTAAGTGCATGTACAAGTATTTAATCTATGATTATACTTATAAAATATACCAAAATAGAGAGAGAAGAATGTTTCTGGAAGCATGTCACTAGGGAAAAAACTAAAAGAAAGCAAATGCCCATCAGTAGGCATTTTCTACACAACATATGATGGAATACTACACAGCTGTTTAAAAGAAGTCAGTAGATATGAAGCAAAATATCAAAACATCTATTATGGTGTCAAAAAAGCAAAGCCCTGAATGATATAGTAGTATGATAGCAGCACAAATAAAGCAGACCATACAGAAGAAAATAGAAAAATATGGGTTAAAGTGTGCTTTTCTTGAAAGAATCACAAGAAATAAATAATTTAGTATCTTTAGAAAAAAAGATTTTTTAATTTTTATTTTAAATTTTTAATTTTAATTTCCTAAGCAGGAACATTTTATACTTTTTAGTTATAACTGGTAAAATTATCTGAAAAATGAGATTATTAACCACACTTTGCCTTCTTTTTGTCTCTCTAGATTAATAGAAAATAAAAACGTTTAAGGTGAGAGGCTATAATAAGCTGTCATATTCCAAAGGTCTGCTTTCAGTCTTTCCACCTTCAGAAAATTTCCTCCTCCCCAGCAACACCAAACTAAAATAAAGCACCCCTGCAAAACTGACCTGAAACACATCTACAAAAGAATGACAATTTTCTTAAAAACTCATCGCCTGCAAAGAACATGGAGAAGGCCAATGCAGGGGTAGGAAGGAAAGGTGAGTGGGCAACTGAACTGAAAGCAGCAAGCACCCCGGGACCCTGGCGCTACCTGGAGCTGGGTCACCCCTCTCCCTAAGTTACTTTTGGAATCTACCCTTCAATCAGGGCTTTCCCGTATGGTCAGACAGGCAGCCCACCACCTACTAAATGTCCAAACCTCAGCCCTCCCGGCTTTGATCAGAAGACTGGCCATTAATCACTCCCAACCCTAGGCTCAGAAGTATACAAGTGTTTCTACTACACATGTGGGGTTTCCTCTCCAGTTCTGGGCTATCAGGAAAGCAGATGCACCTCTTAGACCTCTTAAACCATCAGCTTGAATTGTTGGAGGTAAAAAGAGGTGGAATGCAGGCAAATATCTGGCCTTCTCTTTTTAGGAATGCTGGTAAAGTCTGCAGGATTTAAACATGGGGCTTAAACGTGGGTCTTCACTCACCTCTTTTAGAAAACTCTATGAAATCATAGATGTGTCCATGGGAAAAACAAAACCAAACAAACTTTCTGAAACCTCTGCTACTCCAGGTAACCGAGGATAAAGTGAACAGTGCCTTCTCAGTCCGCTCAGTGTTCCATAACTTTTTGTCCCAACCCATGTCACCCTCCCTTTCTTGATCTCCAAATTCTCTCATTACACAAATAAATCCAAGGAATAGGTTGTCAAAGCCAAGCCCTCGTATTGCTCCCAGAGTCATAAAGCCCCTACTATCCCCGTGCTAACACTGCTGCTCTGAGTGAGGAAGGTGCTGAAGTGTGGTTTTGCATTTGCCTGATGAGTATAATCCTTCTGCATTCTGAATGGCTCACCTCTGGGCACTCCCCAGGCCCTGCCTAGGGGACACCAGAGATCCAAGCTCTGCCCTTTCACCAGCCTGCCCTCACCTGACAAGGCACTGCAAAGACCACACCACGGATCCTGAGAGGAAATTTATTCTACGGTTTGAAGATCCTCAAAACCCCAAACCTGCATCCTGGATTTGCCCCTTGGGAGTGGACCCTTGGGGTCAGAAACCCAATAAATCACAGGAGCAGCCATGCCAAGGCACTAGCACAGCGAAAGACAGGGCTGCCATGGCTGCCAGGAATAGAGATCTGGGAGGAGTGTGCCCAGTGAAAGCTGCCTGGCAATGGGTCCTTCCTGCTCACTGTCAGCCCAGAACCATTCCAAACAGCTCCTTATTCTAGCTTGGCTTTTCGGGATGTTTGCAAAACACCGTGAAAGATTGATGCAGTCCCCTGGGCGGGGGAGCCCAGATTAGAGGCGTGACACCAGCATCTGCGCTGGGAGGCTGGGACAACTGGGCAGGTCCCAGCGGCTGGCACGCATAGCCCCAGGCCACCCAGCCCAGGCGAGAGGGAGGTGGGAGGCAGGTGGTGATGAGGCAGGAGGCTGGAGTTGGATGTGGGAAGGGGGTCAGGGGCTACTGCTACCCACCCCCCAGTGGCTGCGCCCCTCGGGAGACCAAAACCCAACCGTTCTTCAGCCCTGCGGCCACCGGGCCCTTTCAGGACAGCGCCTGCTTTTCCGAACGCCCCAGGAGCGGCACTTACTCACCCTCTAGCTGTGGCGGACAGTGGAAGTAAAACATCACCGACGGCCCGATCGGCTGGACGGTTAGGAATCAGGAGGGTGAACGGGACGGACTAGCACTCGTAGCTCCGGCCTGGCTGCAAAGCAAACAGCGATAAAGCCTACGTCGCCTCAGTGGGCGCCCCAACCCGCCTTGGAGCGCACCGGACACTCTCCTGGAAAATCCCCTCCAAGCGCCCTCAATCCACTGTGGGGATGGGAGGGGCTGTGACAGCTCTCTCCAGCCAGCTGCCCCGCGGGGCAGTCCTTGGGTTCAGGCCCACCTCCTGGACAGCCGTACCCCACACCTCGCACATCAAACCCCCGCGCAGTTTGGCTTTCGGCTCTTAGAGGTCCCGGCCGCAAGCGCAGCGCCCAGGCCATGAAAGCCGGGTCAGTGAGCGCTTCAGACCATCTGCGCGAGCGGCAATCCCGCCCGGCCAGGAAAGCAGCCGCGAACCCCAAGGCCGGGCGCGCGGGGCCCGGTGAGTGAGTAGGGAGCCGAGCGTACCGCGGCGGGTGGCGGGCGAGGAAGGCCGAAGCGTGACGGACTCCGGTCCGTACCCAGGCGCGGCTGGAGGCGGGCGGGGCTCCGCTCTGCTGGCGCCCGCAGGACCAGAAAAGTGACTCGGGAAGTGGCCAGATGTCTTGCTGTCTGTCTACAGCGCGCGCCGCCGCTCAGCACTCGCCTTTATAATCTCACGCATAATTGGCCTTAATCTGATTATTTCCAGCGCTGTCTACAGCGAGTAACTTGGATAGGTCTATTGGGCCTTACAAATGGCCCACGTGGTGTAAAAAAAAAAAATCCGTCATTTCTCAGCAAACATCAGGAATGTTTTTTTCTTCTTTCTCTTAAAAGAGGATAGAAACGACCATCACTACTAACACCCCCCCCCAAAAAAAACATTATTTTCTAAACACTCCACTCCACCCTCCCTCCACCCAGGCCCCTCTGACTCAAACCTTCTTTCTCCTCCAGAGCTTGAATTTGGGCTGGCCCTTGTCTGAGGCCTGGCGACTCCAGAGCTGCGAATTGACAAAGCGCTGCTGTTAATTGTCGCTGCTGGATGGGTTTTGGGGGTACGCTTTGCACACGGCTTCCCTTTCCAAGCGACCGTACAAAAGGAAAGTTTGATTTTGTTCTCAGCAAGGGGTCCTTGAATTTATGTTCGCTTCTCCATGCAAATGATATGCGGTGGGACCCTTCTCAATTACTTTTAAAATGCATCCGAGGCAGACACTCAGCGGAGAGAGACCGCCCTTCCCTCTGCCTGGGTGAAAATTAAACTCTAAAGTACCGGGCTGAAATTTTCAAGTCAGGGGCGCGGGATTGGATCAAATCACATAAACTGCAAAAAAAGCAAGTCTAATGGTGCATAATTGGTTCTGTAATAGCATTACACCAGGATAATAGCCCGTTACGGCCCCCTGCACTATTAAGTGCTTCCCTGGCGGAAAGCCTTTATGATATTAAAGGGGGAATATAATGATATTTTGGTTATTAAATGCGTGTAATTAATTTATGCACCACTGAAAATAAAGTTGGTATTATGACCCACTCAAGATGCATCAGAAGATGCAAGTCAGACAACTGTTGATAAGTTCTGGTGTCTGTGTTCCGTCTAGACTGCTGATTTTATTTTGGGACGATGGCTTCTTGGACAGACTACATAAATTGAATATTTTATAAACATTCTAATGCTGCATTCGGAGTGAGGCAGTGGGTCGGGTCCCTGAACCGACTGGGATCCAGCTTTGATCTTAAAGACACAGAGCGTTGGAAACAAAAGGCCTGGCCGGCCCACCCGTGGACACCAGACCTAGGCGAGGAGCGTCTAGCTGGAGGGAAGATTGCAGGGGCCCCTGACGCATGCATTGACCACCCACCGAAAACTGCTGGGAAGAAGTCACCACACCTTTCAGGCGGAAACAAGTCCCTGTCCGGTGTACCTCAGCGGCCCCTCCTGGGCTCAAGCGGTCTGGACAGTGGAAGCTGCCGGCCACACGCAAGAAACCGCTGGAAATTCCGGCTCTGTTCAGAGTGGAGAGAGCCTGCGGAGCCAGCTCCTAGACTCCGAGAGTCCAGGTGGCCGGCCCTGGCGGGAGGGTGGGAACGGGTAGCAAGCTTGTAGGTCTGAAGAGAGGGTGCCGTCTCAGATGAAGCCCGCTGGATAACTGAAAGCGCCTTTTCCACTTCATCCAGAGGGACGGAAGCTGACCCTCTCTCAGCTCAGGCCAAGAGGCGCTGAAAACTCTCTCGTTCTCTCTCCAGCTCTCCCTCAGAGGACCCCTGCTCTCTAGAGTCCTGTTCAGGAGCCCAAAGCTCCTCTTGCGAGCTGCGTCTGCCCAAAGCCCCCTCAGGTTCTCACTTGCCCTAAGCAGCAGTTCCTGCCTGCTCGCCCTGTGCGCTCGGAAAACCAGTGCTTGTAAAACGAAGTGAGGAAGGCGTCGGATCGACTCCGCCAAGATGCTCTAAGCGCACCTGGATACCTGTGCGGAATCCCTTGGTACAAGAAACCGGGCGCTGCGCTGGTCCCCAAAACTAGCGACGTCCAGTTCCCAGTCTCAGCTCCCCATCCTTGACATCCATCAAAGCAGGTTCTTGTCAAGGCCCAGAGAGATCCCAGGTTCTTCTTGGTTTTGTGGGCTGCGCGCTTCCTGAGCCGCCCGGCTGGTCAGAACCATGGACAGCAGCACCGGTTCCTCCCAGGCTGCGAAGCTAGAGGAGCCCGGTCCCGAGGGATCCGCCAGTTGTGTGCAGCTGCGAACCCGCCCCGCCGGATCCCAGGAGTTCGGGGAAAACGACCCCAGTGCTCTCGCGATCCAAACATACGAAAGTTACTTAAGAAGCGTGCTCAGCAATCGCAACAAGGACCAAACTCTTCACTCCGCAACACCTCGCGGTACCTGTCCACCGGCTTCAGCCAGAAAAGACCTGAGACCAGATACCGCCTGGTCCCATCCTTCCCAGAGCCACCGACGCAAGCCTGGACGCCGCACTGGCGGGACAACCCCTCAGAGCTCCGGAAAACACTCACCTTGCGCGGAACGCGGAGCCAGATCCGGACCCTCGACCTCGCCTCGCCCCGTATACCTCTCCCCTAACCGCGGGGCAGGGCTTGCTCCTGACGGCAAAATAGCGATATAAATAAACAAACACGCATCCGTAGAAACGAAAGACTATAGCAAACTTTGATGACGAGAGCCCCCCTTTTCGCTTCGATTTTCTCCGACTCTTGAACCCAGGAGAAGGTGACTAATATATTCGCTTCCGTCCTCCCCCCCCCAAAGGGCGTTATTAACGAAAAGGTTATTTTTCCTTAATTCTTGTGTGGTAAAATGTATTTTCCAATTAACCAAATTCACCAATCTGTCCCGCTTGGACACTCTGATAATTTACAACCTAAAAGTGTACTTTCTTTATCTAAAGACCAAGGTGACTGCTTTTAATTTTCTCTAACCTCTTTACACTTGATGTTCACCAGACTCATAATGTTAATTGGCTTCATATACGGATCATCAGTTTAATGAAGAAATAAATCCTGTGTTGCTTTATGTTTTAACAGTGATTGCTTTAATGAGGAATGTGACGTGTTCCAAAATCAAAGCTGCAGGAGACATTAAAGGAGCTTCTATTAGGACAGAAATGCTTATTTAAAGTTAAAACCATGGGTCATATTTCAACAGATTCTCGCACTGGGTGAGGAGAGGGGGGTGCTCACTAGCCCCACCTGGGTTGCCTCCAGCCTCTGGAAGGCGACCATGCTGTGGTCAGTCCTCAATGTTCTTTCTCTCAGTATTTAATACACAGCAGCCATAGAGGCTCCATTCCCTTTAAGAATTATTTTCTGGCTACGAAACAGCATGCTACTTTGCCTCTTGTCCAGCACAGTGGAGAGAAGCCAGAAAAGAGTAAGGAGTTCAACTTTCAAGGTTGTTCACTTCTTAAGAAATAAAACAAAGTGGGAAAAGAGTGATTTGTGTGCATCTGGAGCAAAAGCTGAATCTCTGTTGATGTATATTCCTACCACTGAAAACGTAGCTTCCCCCTCAAAGGCAGGCAGCTCCCACAGAGCCCCCTAGGCCAAGTGAGCTGCTGTGACCAGGTTCTAGCCTCTGCACATGTCTGCAGGGAATGCATTGGGCTCCCTTCTGGTGATGGGTACTTTACATCTCTACATCAATTAATAGGAGAGTAAATCTGTTTTCTCTAATGGGTGTTTGATTTTTTTTCTAATTTTAAGCTTGTTCTAGGAAAGGAAAACTATCATCTTGAAAACACTGAGAGCAGTAATAAAATGCTAGAAATTGGAGCATCTATACCTCAAGTCTTAAACTGTCCTTCAGTTGAATTGTGAAGTTATTTTAAGTTGATTCCTGAAAAGATCCCAAATCCTTAGAACATATCAGGCTGCAGGTTGATGTCTCAAACACAACACATGGGATTCATTAAAGTCTAGCTCAGTTTAGGAAAACTGGAGAAATATTTGAAGACACCAATGCATGAATATATGTGGGACTTGACATCTCAATTGGGCTCAGGAGACATTTTGCCAACTGCCTTTTAAAACATTTTTTAGTAGAAATAATCTCAGTAAACACAGTTTAAGCCCCTAGCAGTGGATAGATAAAATATTTCAATTTTCAGGAAGAATAAAAATGACACTGAATCTCTAATTGTATGTTTTGGAAGGATCCAGGTGACCTGTAGCATTTTTTTTTCCTAAGCCTTTTTAAAGCTCCATGGGTGTTACCCTCAGCTGTCACACAGCTCTCCCAAAGCACAGGTACAGCATATATGTGTTCATACCGAACACACCTCATTCTCCACTTGTCAGCAAATCCACTGTCATTTTCTAGTTTTGGAAATTGCCAAGAAAACTTGCACTAGCTAGCAATATATAGAATGGAGGGAAGAATAGCAACTAATTAAAATTCCAGAGGAATGGGGACGGTGAATAACAAATTATAGCTAGAACTATACATAAAGATACAGCTAAATGTGCAAAGGGATACGCATAGATTGTATTACCTTGGAAATTCCCTATCACTCATTTAACTGCCATGTAGAAGAAATAGTTTAAATGCAAGCCACTTTCAACCTCCACCTCACTAGGTAAGAAAACACTGTCCCTGAAACAGGCTTACTGCCTGAGGAGTCCATGCATCCCTAGCTTCATTCCAACAGTCTCCACTCTCTTCATGACTGGAGACCTCCACGACTTCCTCTGTGACGAGAAGATAAAAATGCCTATATCAAGTGCTGGTGGGAGGACTGAACTGTGTTAGAGAATGTTTGGGGCACAGAAACTGTTCTGTGTAATACTAGAGTGGTGATACATGTCACCCACAGAATGTGCAGTGCCAAGAATGAAGCCTAATGCCAATATATGGGCAATGTTTCTTATCATGTGGGGGTGGAGGTCTCACTAGTAGCAAATGTGCCATGCCAGCAGGGGATGATAGTGGGAGAGGCTATGCATATGTCAGGGCAGTGGCAAATGGGGGCTCTCTGGATTTTCTGCTCAATTTTAATGTGCACCAAAAACTGTTCTAAGAAATAAAAATCAATTTTTTAAAAAAAGCCATTGTTAAAAACAATGCCCAGCACATAGCAACCACTCAACAAATACCAATAGTTCACTATCGTTGTTATTAATTTCTTGCCCCAAAATAACCCACAAGGGAAGAACATTCCTGGAGAGATGCCATGCTGAGCTGTTTGGGAAACTTATAAATGGCTCCTGCCTCTCTGGCTTTCTCTAGGATGAGACCCCTTGGGCTAAAGCATCACCACCCTGGAGAGAGCACCTCTGTGGCTCCTCATCCTATCCATCCACCAGTCTGCTGTACAATTTCCTTACATTTTTCCCTTCAAACTATTGCTTGGTTTGTTGAGCTTTACTTACCTCCCATCTATGTAACAGGGATATCTAAATCAAGAGATTTGGGGATGGATCAGAGGTATTTTGTTTAGCCATCAGACGTTTTTTAGAAATTAAAACTGATTGCCCTTAAAGTGGGTATGTTTATCTTGTCACAAGTTCCACTCTTCCACACTACTTTCTTCTGCCACCATTCACATTTGTGAGATCCATTGCTTCCTGACTTTTCTACCCCAGACATAAATTCTGTGAGTCTATCTTAATTTTCAGATATGTTGTCATTAAGAAGGGGAAGAGGTGAGTCAAAGGAGACTAAATCCACAGCCTTTGGAGTTCCAGAGTCTAGTTCAGTCTATTTCTGCAAACTCTTCTAGCACTTATTCTGTGCTGGGTGCCGGGACACAGACCTGTGCTCTTGACTCTAGGAGACAGTCCCTAGAAATTCTGGCTAGGAAAGAAGACAGAGTAGCAGGGAGGGGGGGATACTGTCACCATCTGGCCAAACACCAGAAGGCACTGGATTCTCTGGACCTTCCCTCCACTGGCCTACTAAGCTTTCTAGAAGGACAGATACACCCAACTGGTGAAGGGGTCCTCAGACTCATGTACCCAATCAAATGGAGCATCGTCCTCCCTCCCAGGGCCCATGGGCACAGTTCCCAGAGTCCAGGAGTCTTGATGGGTTCAGCATCAACCTTCAGATTCTTGTTCCCCACGTCTGGCTACACTGAGAATCTCTGAGGGGCGGACCACACATCAGTCTCAGATAGTCCTATAGGTACACCAAAAGAACTCAGTTCCTAAGATGCCAAGATCTAGGACTACTTTGATGGATCTACTGGAGTTACTGACTTGGAACAAAATCATTATATAAACATTTCATTTTAAGTCCAGCTGACTATTATTAAAGATGTAATAATGAATTGCTAATAAGGAAACCAAATCAATCCCAGGAACTATCAAAACAGTGTCCAACCAAAAATAGAAAAATGATCTCAGTCTCTAAATGTAAGTAATCTTACCAATAAACCTTTAGGAAAAGTAACTTTCAAAGTCAGTTCTTTAGGACTATTTAGTGGACAACTGCTTTGTTCACCATAACAATGAATTAGTAGAGTTGTAGAATGTGATAGTAGAAACAGGGAGCCAGTAAACCACAAAATCAGCACTGGAATCCATCCCTCCCAACCCCAAGTCCAACACACTCTGCTACCCACTCTTTAATAAGACATGTTTCCCCTGCAAAGCAGACATTGTCGATGCCCATCTAAGTTCTTGATATGTGGGATTTAATTGAAATGACTACTGAAGAAATGAAATGGTTGCTACCCATATGACTGATAAACTCACCAAAAATCTTCCAGTATCCAATAGACTTGAATAATATACACAGCTATACTTGGAGATTCAATTAGGTGGTTTTTCAACCAGAGCACCTTGGGGTCAAGTTTGACTTCTTTTTATTTCCCCAACCCCCAAAGTGGAACTGACAATACCCACCTTTCAGTATGTGATTCATCAGTAACGAGTTTTCTCTCTCTCTCCTCTTTCTCTCTCTCTCTCTCTCCCTGCCTGCTTCCCTCCTGCTAGCCTCGTAGAGCAGCAGACTCTCAGAGCACAGTTAAATCTCAACATAAAGAGGAAATCCCCACCTCTTAGTCCTGCTGCCCATCAGCCCACAGCTTCTCACACGCCAGCCTGGTGAGGGGCAAGGGTCAGTACAGACTGAGACATGTTGAGGGCATGCACTGTTTGCCTAGCTACCCATTCATTTCTTTTTTTATTCCGCAAATAGCTGTGAAGCAGCTACATTCAGTAGCATTCAGGAGATGCACTAGTAAGGAAGAGGTAGATACGTCAGGAGAGCTTCTCAAAATTGCAGCAGAGTTTGTCAAAGCCAGGTGGCCAGAAACAGACTGCACCTCTGGACAGCCCCCAAAGACCTAAGGTTGCCCTCTCCACCCTCCAGCAACTTGTCCTGGGGGGTTCTAGCCAAAGGGGCAAAGACTTGCTCTGCAGAAGGGCAAACGAAGCTGGATGAACATATTCTCACCTTTGCTGGGGAAGCAGAGGTCTCCCAGATGTCCATTCTGTCATCTAAACATTCCTCTTCTTTGCCCTCTCACTCCTTCACACACAGATGCTCATAGAGAACCACATTTATGCCAACATTTTGTCACTGGCAAGAGAAAAAAAGAAGTCTTTTCTTTCACTGTGCTTAAAGTCTTTTATGTGTGTGAGTGTGTGTGTGTATGTGTGTGTTTACTAATATCTCCCTAAGTAGACTATAAATACCATGTCTGTGTGGGTTCATGATAAAATTCTAAGCCCTTACTTAGCCCAATACATTGCACCTACCGGGCATGCAATAAAGAGCTATTGAATGCATAAATGAATAAGACAAGATCTATGGGCTCAAGTCCTAGAAGACATAGACATGAATAGAGCATTTGACGATCAATGCCTCTCCCTGCAACTCTGGTCTTGTGTCCTTCGATGCTTTCTGGTATAACTCAAGGCATAACTAAGTACATGAATCAAGGACCAATCAATGATTTCTTCTCTCCTGTATCTCTTGCTAAATGTTGCTGAGGGCTTTTGTACAGGCACAAGCAGTTCCCTCCAATATGGTTGTAAGTGACACGTGGGTTTCAGCACAGGGCAGACACCCTGACCAGTCTTCTCAGAAAGGCTGACATGCTTCTTCTAAACTGTTTTGCCCAACTTCATTCTCAAACCAGTGCCTTCTCTCCCCACCCTGAAGCAGTAGAACAGATATGTGCATTACCATTGCCACTTTCTAGCTCTTACATCCTCTTACCATCTGCAAACCATTTTCTCATCTGTCAAAGAGAAATGATTCCCAACTCAGAAGAAGCATTTTGAGAGAAGGCAAAATCCTCGCAGATGTGATGGTTTGCAGCCTGGCACGTGTGGTCTTCCTTCCTAAAACTACAGCGGGAAGTCAGGACAGGTAGGCCCCTCTGAGTCTGCACTTGGGTCCCTCCCCCACGGCACTCCCATCTCTCTCCTTCTCCCTCTCTCTGTGTCTCCTCAGCCCTCCTCTCTCCAGACCAGCCTGTGCTAAACTCTGCTCTGTTCAGGGGACACCAGCCATGTCCCCTTTTTGTTGAAAGCTCCCAGAAGCACCTATATTGGCCTGGCCCTCAAGCCTTCCCCCTTTAATCAGGAATAGTATAGGGACATGGGGAGGCAGAAGAGGAGAATGGGAGGGAGGGAGTCAGAGGCTGCTGCTTGGGC